AGCTCCTGAGCTGCTGACGCGTGGATCCTTTTTGGTCCCGGTTGGTGTTACCAACCGGGACTAAAGGCCCTCCTGCCTGGGCTCGCCGCAGCGGCCACGTGGAGCACCACCTGTCCCGGTTCATAAGCGAATCAGGACTAAAGGTTTTGGTCTTTAGTCCCGACCCTTTAGTCTCGGTTCCAGAATTGGAACAAATGGGCATCTAGAACCGGGATAAATAGACATTTTTCTACTAGTGTATGCATTGTTAATTGGGTTCAATAGGTGCGCTTGATGCAAAAAAAAGTAGCAGGATATGCGTCCACTGCATGCGAGATAGGCATCCGCTGCGTGCGTTCCGAACTTCGAATCTATCGCTAAATTCCGACTAGTCAGAAGTGAGCACAGTCCTTAAGAAAATTCTACGTACAACAATTCTTTTAGGGTACCTACAACGGCTAATATACCCGACTGGTGCACCACACGAGTTGATGAGCAGCAGCGTCGAAGAAATATGTTACACAAACTCGCTGACCCAACGCTAAGACGCACAAAGACATGACCAGCTCAAAAAGCAACAAGCAACAAGGATATGGGCTGGACAATAAACAACAAAGGGATAACGCGTTCTAGAAAGAAAAGAAAAAGACGAATGACATCAGCCGATTAAGACTTAGACAGACCCTTTAAAAAACATGTCTGCAAAATTAAGCGGGAAATTCCTCACAGGGGAGGTGAAAGTTCTTTACATATGCAAGTTTAACTAGCAAAACTTTTTTTCTCTCCTGGCCTAGTTGGGTTATTTTGGCATGGTTGGGTTATTCCTCACAGGTTCTCGCCATGTACTTGACACAACAATTCTTGAGTTGCTGGCAGTTGTGTCGCTCGGCGAAATCCACGGTGAAACCCACCGTCTTGGCATCCAGCGCCTTGCTCAGCTTGCTCTCGCAGCTCAGCTTCAGCCTCTCCATGGCGTACCGGTCGGCAGCGACGAGCAGATGCTGCGCCATGTTCGTAGCCTCCTCGGTGGCCTCCTCCATGAACGGCGGCAGGGTGTCCTTGTACATGTAATACAGTAGGGCCTCGAAGACACTTGCGCATATGCCCCTGACGCGAATGCTGCTTCGCCTGCTCTCCACCATGGAGCCGCACAGCTGCGCGCGGAAGACCGGCGACCGCGCGGCGAGCACGCACGCGTGCACCTTGAACCTCCTGAACCAGCCGATCTTGACGGTCATGTCCGCCTTGAGGCCGTCGTCTAGGATCTTGCCGATATCTCTGGTCAGTTCCGAGGGTGGCACGACGACGCTCGTGTCGTCGTCTCCGTGGCCCTCGAAGATGTCGGAGGAGATGATCTCGACGGTGCACTTGATCAGGAGGCAGTCGTCGTTGAGGTAGCCCCACTTGGTTAGATCGGCTTTGCGCACGAACTTGCTGAACCCGTAGCTCTTGTGCGCGGCGGAGAAATCGTGCGTGCTGCCGTTAACTGTGGTCTTCTCCCCCGTCACCGGCGAGCCAGGGCCTTGGAGGCAGAAGGAGTAGTTCGCCCGGACAATGGCCTCCCCGGGGTTTTCCAAGTTGATGAAGACGGACGTGTGTTGCTCGCCGGCGTTCTTGTTGCCGTAGGGGTAGTACTCGACGACCCAGTCGTGGCCGCCGACGCGGAAGGGCTTGGACTCGACGCTGGTGCTGGCTCCTTTGATCAGGGAGTGTCCGGCGACCTTGAGCAGGTGCACGCCTGTGGTGGACGACAGGCGGTGCGTGGAGGCGGTCTCGTTCGCCGCCATGGCCGGCGCCGCACGCACGAGATCGTTACGAGATGTAACCACGGAGTCGATCAATGAAAACAACCTGATGCGTGTGATTCACTTGTCCTCCAAAACAAGATTGTGGAGTAGTATACCCGCGGAAATTGAGGTGTACCAGATTTTGGTGGGTAAAATCACAACCATGGGTCATGAATTGAAAGGGTTTTATTTTTAAACCCTTATAAAGTGCCACACATGACAAATCCGAACGTTTTTTATGGCAAGTTTAGTGACGCGGGATGACAACGTTAGTTGTACCCCACGTCGCGAATCAACTTCTGGTTGAGTTGGTTAGGTGGACAGTGGTATCCCCAACCCATCAGGGTTCAAATCCTGGTGCTCGCATTATTCCTGTATAGGGCGTGTGTGTGTGCGTTTATAGGGATGAGTGTATGCGCGTGTATATGAACGCTTGTGTCTGTACTGATGCTCAAAAAAAAAGTTGTACCCCACGTCACAACTTTAGGTCACACGTGTGGACCGGTGTACTTCATGTCACGCATGTGGCATTTATCATTTGAGTTATTTTTCGCGGAATGAATTGTGAGTATCGTGCACCAAGTTAAACAAACTAAACATAAATTATTGAGTAACCCCGGAAAGAGCACAGGCGAAAAGGAGGCGACCATGGCTTCCGGTTGCGTGCCGCCAGTGCTGCTGCTGGTTCCCTCTCCCTCCGCCAGCCGCTCAGGTGGCGGGAGGGAGGGGAAACCTCGGATTTGTGTGTTGGATGGGTTCTCAATAGGGTTAGGGTTGAGGAAGACGTTGTCGATGTCGTTGCGGTGTCGTCACATCTGTATAAGTTACCCTGGGCTCCGCTTGCGGTTAGGCGGCCCGGCGTCACACCTGAATAAGTTTCACCGGGCTCCGTTCGCGGTCAGGCGAGGCTCTTGCCTTCGTCTAGGAACCAGCGGGGTGGGGGGTCTCCAGATCTCGTTGGGGTCGCGGGCTATGGTGTCTAGAGGTCGAGCGACATTGGCCAGTTGGGTCCTCAGATGGGAGGTGGTTGCGTGGAGATGAAGATTATTCTTCCTCCTCGTCGGTATGATTTTCTATTGTTGTTTTATCTTTTTCTTTGTGCTGCTGCCCGAGGGATGTCCATCTTTGCCCGGGCGGTTGGCCCGGCTGCAACACAGGGACCGGATCCTAGTTCTCCATCTGGAAGGGGCACATATAGTGGTACTTAAAGCTAGAGATGGCGAAGGCTGGTGTAGGCATGTTGGATGCATATGTATGTCCTTGTCTTTTCGGCGCCTGGCTGAAAAAAAAAAGAAGGAGCAGCGTGGCGGCAATTATGTCGTGGTTGAAGATGATGACTTGCTTGGGTCTGGTTGCATATTCTTGTGTGGCGGGGGTCTTCTTGCAAGGTTCAGGGATGATGACATAGAGTTGCGGAGATCTTCGTGTTCAATTGGTTGTTGTTTCTCTAATTCTTTGTGCGCATGTTAGGATGTGTTTGTGCGGGTCAAGGACTATGCACTGTTTTGTGATTTCAATACAAGCATACTATTAGGAAAACATAAATTTTTGAGAACTAACTTAGCTGATCACAAATTATGGAGTATTTTTATTTTGCAGACATATGCAAAATGAGATTTACTACATGTGTATGTTTTATATGTATCAGGGCATCTTCAACGCTGCCCCGCAAATTTCCTTTGGCAACTGCCCAATGACAGCGGGACCAGTCCGCGGACACTGATGCGGAGGCCGCCTTCCAAAGCTATCCGCATAGATTTCAACAAGCGGTTAAAACTAACCAGACGAAATTCGTGCAAACACAACAGATTTTCATATAAACCGAAAGAGATTCATGCAAACACAACGGATTTCATATAAACCGGACGAAATTCATTACATTTCGGACATATTTCAACTAAAAGGGGATCTCGTTCGTCTCCAGGGGTATAATTTCGGACATACTTCTATTCTAAACCCAGACTAAATGATCGCCTTAGCGATGTCCTCCTTGTCGTTGGTCTTGCCCCACACCTCGTCGACTTCCAGTTCCACCTGACATTGGCGATACAGCCAGCGGGCGGGGTGGATCTCGCGGGCGGAGCGGTAGGACTCGAGCAGCTCCGCCATGTCCACGTCCGGTGCGATTGCCCTGCTGGCGGCGAGCTACTCCTTCGCCTGCTGGTGCTCCTGGAGGAGCTGGAGGTTGTAGGCCATGTTGACCTACGCCTCCCGGAACTGCTCCTCCCACACCATGCTCATGTAATGGGCACGGTCCACGCCGATGGTCATGGTGCAATGCACCGACGAGGGTGGCGCCAGCTGGTTCTCTGTTGCGTCCTCCATTGGGACGTCGTCAGCCATCGGCTGCGTGCCGGCCTACCAGCCAGCAGCAATGGCGGCCATCTCCTTCTTCTGCTCCGGTGACAATCCGTCCCAAAGATCTTTGGACCACGAGGAGGCCAAGGTGGGAGTAGTGCGGAGAGGAAAAGGGACCGGAGGTGGATGCCTATGGCTATGGACAGGGCTACAGTTTATATAGCGGGTGAGTGGCAATGGTGAGCAGTAGACAGACGGACATGTGGCGCCGGAGTAGGTTCTTTGGCAACTGTGTGTTATAAATGTGGGCGGTAGACGAACGGACGTTCGTTCTCTCATTTGAACGTGTAGCAGTTGCGTAAACCAGGAAGCGACGCGGGCGGTGCTCTCTTGGTCGGCGCGCCGCTTCAATGCCAGTGCTAGTGAGACACTACTAGGGAAATGCTTATACACAGGAGCTCGCCGGTAGCGCCTTACTGGTGACGCTTTTACAAGCGCTACTGCTAGCTATAAAACAAGCGCTACTACTAGGGATTTCCCTACTAATGAGAGGTCACGTCTGCTCTGATCGGGCATGAACGCGGCACTGACGCTCTGGAGTAGCACTAACTGTTTCAACAGAAAGCGCGCGCAGACGAGGGAGGGTGTTTTTGTGGGCCACGGCCGACAGGAGCGGACGTAGCAATGGTCCGGACACCCGCAAAGCCCTTCTAGTTTGTCTCCGGTTTACGGAAAAAAGTACGTCCGAACTGCTCAGCGGACCAATACAGGTCCGTGTTGGATGGCCAACACGGGACATCGCGGTCCGGACTTACACATGCGCTTTGAGGTCGGCGGTGGAAATACCCTTACAATGGATAAAATCTAAATCAATTTTCTAACAATAAAGACAGATTGTGGACCAACATGTCCACGTAAATTTTACCATTATATGTCCTTATAACATCATCACAAGTTAGTTTGCGTTGACTGAGAGATTCAGATTACTGTACTGGCAAAAAAATCGCACATACCCTTTGATCCAGATTTATGTAACACCAATTTAAACATTCTTTAAAAAGTATACTCTCATTTAAAGGTATTAGATGCACGAAACAACTCGTAACCCCTTCCTCCTGAATTACTTGTCTTTCTAAAGACAAAAAATGACCAATTCTACACTAGTGTCAAAAATATTTTTATATTATAAAAAGGAGGAAGTAGTAATTAACACAACGTCCAAAAATTAAGGGGCTGTTTGATTCTAGGCCTTACTTTGCCATACTTTGCCATACATTTTTGTCAAACTTGTCTAAGAGCATCTCCAACAGCCGCCCAACACGTGGCGCGCTAAAAACCAGTTTGCAGCGCGCCCATCGCCTGGTTTGGCGCGGCGGGCAGCGCCGGCTCCAGCGCGGCAAAATGCAGCGTGCGCCCATAGCTCCAACAGCGCGTGCGCTCTCGCACAAACAACATATGCACTTCAAACACAAGCAAAAAGATCAAACACAAAAAAAAATCAACAATAAATAGTTCAATTTCGTTATTACAACTCAAACAAATAGTTTATCGTTCAATACAACAAATAGTTCAACAATACAACATCAAACATCAAACAATACAACAATACAACAAATCACGATGCTCTTTGTCGGTCATTCCAATCCCATCACTCCTCAATGAGATCCTTCTGAAGATCATCATGCGCTGCGGGACGTCGAATGGCATGATAGGAGGCAACAAAACGGGCCACCCTTTCAGCCATCCGCCGCACTCGCACGGAATGTCCCAAGAGCTCATAGTGAGAGTAGTCTACATCTTGGCCACGCTCATTCTCAATGATCATGTTGTGCACGATCACACAAGCGTGCATAATATACCAAAGCATCTTTTGATCCCAAAATCTAATCGGTCCTCTCACAATAGCAAATTGGGCTTGCAAAATTCCAAAAGTTCTTTTTACATATTTTCTAGCCGCCGCCTGAGCATTGTGGAAATCAAGATTTTTCTTACCTTCCGATTTTTTCAACGGCTTCACAAATGTTTGCCACTTTGGATAGATGCCATCCGCAAGATAGTAGCCAAAGTTGTATGTACGGCCATTTGCTACAAACTGCACCGATGGCAGTTCACCATTTGCAATCTTATTCGTCAGTGGTGACCAGTTGACAACGTTGATGTCATTCAAAGATCCAGGCATTCCAAAAAAAGCATGCCAAATCCAAGTCTCTTGATCGGCCACCGCTTCGAGGATTATAGTGGAACCCTTTTTTTGGTCGTGGATGTCATTCAAAGATCCAGGCATTCCAAGATCCTATCCCTCCAAATTTTCTGCCGACCCAAAACCGAACCACCGTGCTTTGGTTTTTTATTGATGTGCATAGCTAGGATCATTGCAAGACCGTCCTCCTCTTCCATATCAAATTCTTCTTCGGAAGAATAATACGACGAACTCATCTACAATGTTCAATATAAACTAAGCTATAAAAACTACAATCAACATGCACCAAATTCATGTAAAAAATCTGTGAAGTTTGAGCAATACATACCTTGCGGGCTCGAGCGGCAGTGAGCGGCCGGGCGCTGTTCGTCGGAGGACTGCCGCGCGCGACGGGCGTCGGTCACTAGAGGGAGACGAAGGAAGCCGTCGCGGCGCGAGGATAGGCTGGGGAAGCGCCGGGAGGGTCGCCGGAAGAAATGGGGTGGCGCGGGCGACGGCGGCG